TTTAACACTGTTGCCGCGGGTTGTTGTTCATGTCCGCGGGTTGAAGCGACCCCAATAACGTGATATTTAGCCCCTGGAATGTGAATTTTACTGGAAGATCCCCGCCGAAAAACGTGTATTTTACCCCCAGAATGATTTTTACAGGGGAACCCTCCTCGAAACGCGATTGGACTAGTTTTATTGCGAAAACCTGGCAACCCTGTTCATTAGTGCCACCTGCTGTCAGAGAGTGAGTCTCATTCAGACCTGCTGTTTTTGATTCATGAAGATGTTTTATGTAGCAAATAAATAAATAACACCTAAAGTCAGACCATTCTGTTTTTGTTTTAAATCCTGAAATTAATCTAAATCAAATAAGTCAGGGATCTTGGGCCTAAAAAGGTTGGTGACCACTATAGGAATAAAACATGCAAAACCTTTTCTGGTACATACAGCTTGTTTAATTACTGGATGAATCTCCATTTTTGTAGGAATATCTTGAATGAATGAATGCTTCAATGACAAATACATTTTTTAAGTCACTCGTCGCCACCTACTGGTGTAACAATGCCATATAATCTTTATTTGGAGTTGCTTTCAAAAAGTTTTGATCACTACCATAGACATATGTGTTAATATCTATAACTATAAACTTTTTTCTATAAACAATTAATCAGAGTTGTGGACTTGGACTTGAGTCCCAAATTTGAGGAGTTGTGACTTGACTCGACATAATCTAAAAAGACTTGCGACTCGAATCTCTGACCTCTCATAACATAAAAATTTATGCCAGAGATTGTCTTACTGTAGGGAGATGAGAGGGTCTGTATTACTCACTATTGGAGAAAGCGTAACGGCTAACTTGGATCACGTGTGCATTAATAACCAATCACATTACAGCCTTGACGTCACTGAACTTCAATCAGAGTTGTGCGACACTCAATCACCGTTTACGGATACCATAGGAATGAATGAGAAAAGCTGTAAGCTGAAGCCCACCTCTCGCAAAAAGTCAGTGACTTCTCTTATAAAACAGCATTTTTTTTGTGGTAGACACAAAAAACAGTTCAATCCAAATATACTGTTTAGTGTAAAACATGTTGAAGATTAGCCAATAGGCTGTCGATTCATGAAATGATAAGCTGTTTCCTCTAAAAAAAACCTTTGTATTCAGCGTTGTGAAGCCTCTCCTACATTGACATCCATTAAAAAAAAACGGCCTCTGGTCTCCTTTGCGTTAGCATTAGCCGTTACGCTTTTTCGGCTAAAGGTTGCAGGCTTGCCTTCTAGTGGAATTGCAGGTGTTTTGATAGAAGTTATGTTCATCTCATTCTTCCTTAACGTTTGTGGCAGGCGATGAAGCAAATTATGGTGCACTTGCACCCTCTACTGGACTGGAGTATATTGTGAGTCGACAGTTGAAAGCGCCATAGTAAATAAATACTGCAAAGCTCTATTTAAAACATATATTAATATAGTAAAGCTATATATGTATTAATATAGTATAGTTACTTAAAATATTATTAATACATTTATTTTTAGTTACAAATCATACAGAACATGTTTACTTTATTAGATATTGAAAAACACATATTGAAATATTTGCCAGATATTGAAATTTGCAAAAATGACCGGAAGAGCCATTGGGCATATTTTAATAACCCATGATTAATTCTGTAAAGTGAGCAGTATTCAGCTGTTTGTATGATCTTATCCTTTCTGTTTCATGTAGAGTAAAACAACAGATTTTTAAAAAATAAATTAAAGTAGTTACTTTTTATTTGTTCATGTGCAAAACATTTTTAATGAGGCATGTATGTACCTGTTTGTAAGGTATTTAAAATACTAACACTACCATTTAAAAGTCTGGAATAATTAAAATTGTTTAATGGTTTTAAAGGAAGTTTCTTCTGCTCACAAAGGCAGCATTTATTTGAGAAAATTACAGTAAAAACTATTATATTGTGAAATATTATTACAATTTAAAATAGCTGTTGAATATATTGTAAAATGTGATTTATTACCGATCAAAACTGAATTTTCAGCATCATTACTCCAGTCTTCAATGTCACATGATCCTTTAGAAATCATTCTTATTTGCTGCTCAAAAAATTACTGACCCCAAACTTTTGTTTTCTACACACACACAGTCACACACAGTCTCACACACACACACACACACACACACACAGTCACACACACACACACCTCTTAGAAAGTCCTGGTTTCTGAAGATAAAAAGCTCATTGCGACAACACAGAGTGATGTTTCTTCTTATGACTCAGCAGCTGATTTGATTGGTTGAAACTCTTCCCACACGCAGTGCAGTGATATGGTTTCTCTCCGGTGTGAATCCTCTCGTGCGCTTTCAGGGTTCCTGAGCGAGAGAACCTCTTGTCGCAGTGCGAACATTTGTACGGTTTCTCTCCAGTGTGACTCCTCTGGTGCAGTTTCAAGTGCGTCGCTGATATAAACCCATTCCCGCACTCGAAACACACGTGAGTTCTCACATCGGTGTGTATCTTCTGATGCTCTTTAAAACCATCCAGTCGTGCGAAACTCTTTCCACACAGAGAACACAAGTATGGTTTCTCCTGCATGTGAATTTGCAAGTGTCTCTTTAGTATGGATGATGAAAGAAACGTTTTACCGCATTGGTCGCAGTTAAACGGCCTGACAGCAGAGTGAGTGAGAAGATGTTCTTTAAGACTGCTGATATGTGTGAAGCTCTTTCCACACTCAACACAAGTGTATGGTCTCTCTCCGGTGTGGATCCTCATGTGCTCCTTAAGGTTTTCTTTATAGGTAAAACTCTTTCCGCAGTGATCGCATGTGTGCGGCTTTTCTCCGCTGTGGATTTTGATGTGCCTCCTAATGGCTCCCGAGAGTGCAAAACCTCTTCCGCATTGAGGACACATGAATGGTTTCTCTCCGGTATGAATCCTTATGTGTCTGTTCAGGCCTGTTTTGTATGCGAAACTCTTGCCGCATTGGTCGCACATGAACGGTTTCTCTCCGGTATGAACTCTTATGTGATCCACGAGGTTCCTTTTACACCTGAAACTCTTCCCACATTGAGAGCAAGTGAAGGGTTTCTCGCCGGTGTGAATTAGCATGTGGCGCTCAAGGCCGATTTTTTGCGTAAAACTCTTTGCACATTGAGGGCAGATGAAAACTTTTTTGGCTCTTTCTCGTTTTTGGGATTTATTATTATTATCAGTCAGTGACCAACTCAAAGATTTTTCTCCAGGTATGAAAATATGTTTCTCCTCAAGCAGTTCTCGTCTTTCCTTTTTCACTTCCATCAGGTCTACATGAACAGGAAATTAAATCATTAAAAAAGTCCCAAAACAAAAGCTTTGCTCTAGATTTAGGAAATTCTCACAGCCACTATGGTTTTCTAGCTTCCAAATCTGGTATTATTGGCTGGTTTTTCTAACTACACCAACTAAATCCAATGAACTGCATGCAGCTTTTGTGACCTGGATGTTCTTTAGCATCATTGATGAAGAATCAAGAATAATCACCAACCTGTTTGTTCTTCAGTGTGTTTCATTCTGCAGGGTTCTGGATCTCTCATGTTCTCTCTGTCCTTCAATAAACTCTGTTTCTGCAGATTTCACTTCTTCCTGATGGACTGGATGCTCATCTTCAATGTTCCAGCATTTATTGTTGAATTGATGTTAGAGGAACGTGCTGAAGATGTGATTGTTATCACTGTACAGAGCATTATGTATTCATCTTTGTATATGATCTAAGTATATATCATAAATTCTTATACGATCTTTTCTTACACGTATCTGCACCCTAATTAACATATAGATTAGGGAATATAGAACGAATGTATCGTTCAAACAACATTACGAACTCGCGAATTATCGTTTGGCATCAGTATGAAATCAGTGAATTATCTAAAGCATCTAAACTGCGTGTTATCTTTACTTTCAGTTATGTTCTACTCAAAACAAGTTTCATATGCGTACTTCGGGAAATTGATAGCATAATAATACTGACCGTTGCGCGTTGCGTTCAACTGATCGACCGTTACTGCCGTTTTCAAACAAAGAGCGCGAAACGCTGAAAACAAATTACCTCAACAAAATCTCTTTTGATAATTATTTGAAAATCATCTATATTTGAGCTCTCACTATAAGACTTTTGGAATCATTATAAATATTATTTATTTCCATCACTTTTCGACTCAAATATACTGTTATTGTTATTAATTTAGTATGCCGCCTACATATAACTAAGAAATAACCGTTTGTGAGTATGAAACATTAAAATAAATGTTCCACGATTTCCATATAGAAAAATAAAATAAGACTTTTTAGAATGATATAAATAATATAAACATTTCGCTGACAGCATCTTTGTTTACACTGCAATCTGACACCACTTGAAAAAAAAACATCAAAATGAAACCTACTTCATCTTCACGGCTCCTCCAGCATCATCTTCTTCTACGTTTCATTGCGGGACACAAAACAGTCGAAGATACGTTTCCGCCACCTACTGGATTAGAAAATACAACGCAAGGACTTGATAAACGCCTTCTGCAGAGCCAGAAAAGTGTACCTGAAATGTATTGTGTATTGATTTGAAATAAAAGACACGTAAAGCCTGTTTAAAGGTCTTGGTTTCCATTTGTGGACAGCTAAGTTTCTCCTCCACTCTCACCAACTTGTGCTTTCTTCATGTTCGCCGCCAGGTATCAGCACAACATAAACAAAAATACTGAGTGCCTTTTTTTTTTTTTTTTTTTTCAGATAACGAAA